GACGTCTTTGATCTAAACCAGTGGTTCCCAAAATGTGCACCACGGGCACATTCTAAAGGCACCGAAATCTACGGTTCATAATAATTGAAACATTTTTATCTATATTTAGTCCAAAAAAGGGCACCGCGAAAAAAAAACGTTTGGAAACTGCTGATTTAAACGAATTATAAGTTAAACGTTGACGTTATAACCAACACGATATTATTGTATCCAAGTATCTATMTAAATATAATATATAGGTACCTACTTTTCATTATTGTTATTTCAAACCAAAAAGAACGTTACRGGTCACGCGTACATTACACGRTAGGCAGTAGTGTACACTTATTTAATTATTAAAAATTTAAATGGAGCTGCCTTTATTATTTAAATAAAATTATAATTTTACATAAATTGTTAAAAGTTATAAAATAAAATTTAAAGGAATTGTATTTTTTTTTAACCAATTAAATGTACCTAGTTGACTGTAAAATTACTAATACATTTCCAATACACTAATTTGTCTGCTTACAATTTCTCAAATCCCACGCTACGCCACTGGTGTAGGTTATGATATAGCCGATATAGGTATAACTGGTATAAGTACAAACTTACGAATCACAATGATTCATAATTGGATTGATAGGTTAATGTGTAGACACATTCTGAGGTTACTCTTAAAACATTGAATGTATAGACATACCCATAAAYTTTCTACGAGCACGATTCTTAACTAAAATCTTCGTAAAACCAATACAAACATTGTTTCCTCGCTCCGCACGTGGTTTGGAAGTTAGAATTAATATAAAACCTTCCTAATTACTTATCATGTATCCGGCTCGTTCAGTATATAAATATAAGAGAAATCAAACAAAACTTCATTTTTAAAATAGTTGTTTTTCATATTTCATTTCTGGAACCATTAGCATAATTTACAAGACGCCTGCAGGCATCCGCTTTCAAATGTTAATGCTCGTTTACTCATTTACTTATCTATGCAGTTATAATTTATAAATTATAATATAGTTGTTCAATAGGTAAACAAACTAATCAAATTAGATATATCTATACTATTTGGTTACTCAATGATAATATTTGTTAGAAAAAAAAAATAATATTTATAAACTTTTAGATTCTGAACGAAGTGATGAATGTAATGATTTTACAATGATAGGTGTTTTTTTTTTTTTATATGTACTGTAAAACCTTTTGAATTTTGCGCAAAACAATAATATATAATAAGGTACTTATAGATACTTAAAAAAAAAATGAATGTATAATAAAATGGAACATTAGTATTTACTATCAAACGAACATTATTGATTATTTTGCTTTTAATTGATCACGATTTAAATTTGATAACTATTATTTTCATTTGAGATTGCGTACCTACTTACTTATTTTAGATTCTGAACGGAGTGATTAATGTATTGATTTTA